ACCCAGATTCAGACTAGGTATCAGGAAAAGCTTCCTCACTGTCAGAGCAATACGACAGTGGAATCAGCTGCCTAAAGAGGTGGTGGACTCCCCTGTTGTAGAGACATTGAAGAAGAAACATCTGAGTGGGATCGTGTAAATTGTGTCCTGAAGTAGCAGGTTGGACCCAATGGCCTTTACGGCCCCCTTCAACACTCCTATCGTATGATTCGGATAGCTAGACATGATAGAAGTTGTAATCCAACACTTCTGGAAGGTACCAGAGGTTGAGGAAGGCTCTTTTTTTGTTTCACACAGGGCTGGTTTATATGATCCAACAAGCCACCACGGCTCATGGTTTGTTTAATGATGGCTTGTTTAAATTGGTACTGTGAGAAAGCAGTTGCCAGGCACCATTAGCCCAATTACGTGCCCAAGCACAGCTTGCAAGGGAAACAACCTCCAATAACCTATGGTCTGTTGTTGCTTCACCCTCAACATTAGCCTGAGAAAGTAGTGCCAATTGGCTTGTGATGGCAGGTACCACTTATTTAAATAAGCCATAGCTTGGTTTCTTTAACTCTTGCATAAGTCATCCCTGCTAAGACTGCAAAAAGTTACAATGCCTATCCACTATGACTTGTAAGATAAAAAGAAAAGCAGGGCACAAACCAAAAACCACCATGGCTTAGATAAGTCAAGGTGGGTTGTGGTGAATGTGAAAACCAGTCCATTGTGCTTGCTTACAAATCTTAGCCTATGTGCGACCACACACTTGTTGTTGGTCTTTCAGCTCCAATTCTCTTAATCTGCAGGTCAGAGGCAAGTTTAGTAAGATAGTCTTTTTAAAATCCTAATTATAACAACCTTTTGCAAAGCTTATCTTAAGCACTGAATGTCATGGACATTACAAGTAGTTATTTACTGTCAAAGGAAGCATACTCAAAATTGTCAGCCAATGTAAATTTATTGTTTTTAATTTCATTTCTACACTGTCCAACAGCCAAAGTTTATAAAACAGACAATGTAGTATCAAACAATGCATAAGCTAAGTTTTAGTCTCATTTTAATTCTGATGATTACCACGACATAGAATTAAGGCGGTATAAGAATAAAAACCACAAGTTTGACTCAGCAATCATTTATCATAAGTTTGCAATTTATCTTTCAGAACAAAACAAAATGTATTATTTCTAAACCATTCTTTTAAATTAGCCTTCCCCAACCAGACACCCTCCAGATGTTTTGAACTACAACTCCCATCAGCCCTAGTCAGCATGACCAATGCTCAGAGATGGAGAGAGTGGTATACCAAAATACCTGGAGGATACTAGTTTAGGGAAGGATGTTCTAAACTTTTGCCAAATGATATCTCATTTACGTTAGGAAAGAAAGACATTACCATGGTTTTCTCTCTCCCTTCAGCAAGTTTCCGCTTTTTATGTACATGTTTGTTGCGCTCAATGTCTGTATCACCATACATATTAGATACATCTTCAAGGAGAACCAGTGGAACTTGGCTTGGAGCATTTGATCCTATATTACCAAAATGCTCCCATAAGCACAGTTGCAAATATGAGAAATAACATTACAACCTGCTTCAAGGTGCTAAAAAATCCCTTACAACAGTACAGTAAAACAGCTACAGTTGCATTCTCCTCTAGCTTACTTATTACTGGATCATCAACTATATTCTTCACAATCTGAATCAAACAAGAAATATAATTTTATGAGAAGTTAAAACAAATCTTCCTGAAAGTAACTTGGCTATTTTCAGAAAAGGCAGTATCTACAGGCAAGCTTACTTCTAAATCCTTGGCCAGCAAGTTTAGAACCAAATATATCTATCAACTATAAAAGGAGATCTTCCAGAATGTATCTTTTGCCTATATAAAGACAAGAGATATCATGCTTACTATGGTAGAATGAGCAATGATAAATGTATTTGTTTACATGAAGAGGTAAGTGCTTTTGTAGCTATCATAGGAGTTCTAAAAATCCCTTCTTAACTACAGTTAAGTGATGAGGAATGCATTGCATGATCAAGTCCTCCCTTTCCAGAACAATTCCAATTAACCTTGGCTGAGGAATACCCTGGCTATGCAGTTTTCATCCCTCAAAAGGATTCTTAAGCAACTTCAGCCCTGGATAAGAGATTTGCCACAGGGGGATCCTGGACAACATTAATAACTGGAGCACTTTAACCTCAACTGCAGTTAAGAAGGAAATCCTATACTTTCTTTTAATGTTTGTAGTCCAATACCCTCAATGTTCAGGACCAAATTACAAGTGGTGCTAAACATATCATTAAGACAAGGGGGAAAGGGGGCTGTTTTTCATCAGCTCTGCACTGCATGGGAAGGAGAGGTTGCATTCTTCCCTCCCTTATCAGATTCCTGATGAAATTTCCCCTTGCCATGCTACTATTAACCCAGAAACTTTCACTGGTACCAAGTGAAGGGGTTCCTAATTATTAATTCCACAGTTTGTGGGTACTCCTGAATCCTGAATTGTCACTGGAGTCACAAATGAACTCAGTGGCCTGGAGTACCTTTTATCATGAGGCTGATCTTCCAACTATGAACCTATCTGGACAGACAGAGCTTTGTCACTGTTATCCATGCTCTGGTAACCTCTTGCATGGATTAATGCAAGGCACTCTATGTGGAGCTACCTTTGAAAACTGTCCAAAAGCTCCAATTGGTTCAGAACATGGTGATGAGGCTGATAATGAGGACTGGCCCCTGAGATCATATTACACCAGTCCTCTATCAGCTATACCAGCTGCCTATTGAAGTCCAGGCCCAATTCAAAGTGTTGATGCTAATGTATAAAGCCCTGAACAGCTTGGGGTCAGAGTATCTGAAGGAACACCTTTCTCAACTTTCACCTTTCTTCTTCTACTCAGTCCTTACAATCTTCTACAGAGGTCCTTCTCCAAGAACCACCCCCTAAAGAAGTAAGCGGGGGGTGACAGTCAGAAGAAGGGCCATCTCTGTGGTTGCATTCCATCTCTGGAACATGCTCTTCAAAGAGGTGTGCTGGCACTGTCTTGGTTTTCTGTCTGGTACCAGGTGAAAACCATTTTTAATTCACTAGATGCTTTAATGAATAGATTGATTTTAATATTGCTTTCATGCAAACTGCCGGTATACAAATGCAATCAATCAATCAATCAATCAATAATCCACATCACATGTAGACTGGCCTGCAATTAATCTTTCAGACCAATTTTGTGTGCATAAGTAGGCAGCTGTTATTCAATTGTTCTGGGGTTTCTAATGCCTTCCTTGACATCTGCACTTTCTCAGAAATGTATTATAAGTGCTGGAAAAATGCTATTTTTCGCCCGAGTCAATGCAAACATGATTTTATTGGGTATTGCATGGGATAGAATCCACATGAGATACTACTGAGATGTTTTCTGACATTACTGATCTCCTTATTAAGCAATCACTAATCAGCTTGCAAGGAATCCCGGTGACATGGTTCACACAATGCAAAAAAGTCAATATTGCCAGTGGAGTGCACTGTGCACTATTTGCCTGATCATCACCTGACTAAAGCTTATCACATTGTCTGAACCTGGGTGGTATGGTTTGCTGGAGGATTAAACAACCCTCACATAAGCCAAGGGCTGTTATAGGGATAGCTAACCCTCCAAGAAACCATGCAGCTTGAGTTTGAACAACATAAGCTATAGCTAGGTGATGATTATGCAAATCATAATCCCCATAGCATGCAGTGTAGCTCACAAGAAGTTGCTATGGTTTACTTAAGCTATGTTGGCTTGTTCTGATTGTGCAGACTGGCCCATGTGATACAAGTCCTGCTTCATACACAATACCATTAAAGCAAACAAATCTAGGATAGTGGGTTCCACATGGTTAGCATTATATTTTAGATGTGACAGCTACCATATGGAATGACACATGCGTACTTTTTTAAAGCACCTAGTATGATTTTTAAACTAAGTCATACCACAAAGAACATCAAGCAAAGGCTTGACATTGGGGTTGTTTGAACATCACAACAACTCATTGTCAATTAATCTACTCATGTATCATCTAGCCCTTAAACAATCCATGCCACCTGAGTTTGCACAATGCAACAAGTCATGCCAAGTCATATGGCTGGCACAAGTGAGAAAAGCCTTGTAGATAGCAGCCATAGTAGGTTGTTGTGTTGTTGACCTGAGCAAACTAGGTCAAGCTCAGAGGGAAAAAGGTTTATTTTTATTTAACAAACCTTGAAAGAGTGAAGGTTGAATGCTACTGACATACTGGAATGCATTCTTGAAGAAAACCAGCATAGTTGAATACACCACCTGAGTCTTGTATTTTGCATTGGCTTCATTATCATAGTTACTTATGTATCTACAGAGATCTTTCATTTTGAGCAAGGTGTCCCCAAAGCTTCTACAGAGCAAAGAACATGAAGTTAGGAGAGTTTCTAATCTAACAGCACAATAACGACATTGGGCAGGTTAGCCCATCATGACAGCCTATCTTGGCAATGATTTCAAAAAATTGTAATCACCATGGGCTATCCACTCCCTCCATCACCTTGAGGATAATGTGCCAGATTTAGCTGCCCATAGTGGTTGTTGTATAAACCAGGAAATTGTGGTTCTTTTCTTTCTGTTCAACAAATAAATGTGACACTTACATGCACTGAGTAATACAGTGGTACCTTGACTCACGAACTTAATCCATTCCAGGACTCTGGTCATGACCCAAATTGGTCATGAACCAAGTCAAATTTCCCCATAAGGGTCAATGTAAATAAGGTTAATCCGTTCTGCAACTATTTTATTTTACTCACAAAAATTTGAAGCAAAGTGACAAAGAACAACAAAGATAGCGTCCATCTCTACCCCCCCCCAGCGATTGTGTGGGGGGGGAGGGGGAGGCGGGCACAAGGGGCAAGGGGAGGCAGGCGCGGGCACACTTGGGAAGGGAACATGGGTGCAATCACGGCCATCTCCCCCCCCAGCATGACCATGATCGCGCCTGTGCAGGGAAGGCGGGCGCACTCACGATCATCACCCGATACACAGTTCACAACCTGCGGCAACATTTTTATGAAATTTCTGTTCGCGAGCCGATTTGGTCGTGAACTGAGGCGTTCGTGAGCTGAGGTACCACTATACTGTGCATGTCTGCTTAAATGTAGGTCCCATTAAGTTCAATGTGTTGCTCTTGCAAGGAAAATCGAGCCAAAATTAATCTGGTCATTAAACTAGATGCATCTTAAACATCATAATTATGTCAAACCTTCTTGCCATGTCCATCTGCCATTCACATCTTACACCCACTATGGACAATATCTTGAACATCCTTTCCCATGGATCAGTAATCTGAGATGATTTCTCAGTCAACCCTTCTATTATGTATTTCTGAGAACTTCGTTTACTGGGCGATACAAGATCAGTTGAGTCCTGAGTACCTAAAAATCAATGGCAACAGTAACTTGATCACCAGAAATCAATTTAACACAGTTATTCCTTCAGTTGCTGCACACTTCTTTGCATATCCAGACAGAAAAATCCTACAATTCCCAGCATATCCCAGCAAATATTATTTTTATTATTTTTTTCTATACCATACAATAACCAAAGCTCTATGAGCAGTTTCCAACTCACACAATATAAGAAGCAGAGCTAGCTAAAGGGAAGCTGGGAATCATAGGGCCTTTTCTGTCCAACCACGCATCAGATTGTGCCCTTAGTTTCCTTCTTGTTTGCACCATCTATGAATAATGCATATTTAGAGAGAGGCAGTGTTGTGTAGTGGTTAAGAGCACAGAGCAGGGTCTCAGAGATCTGGGTTGTAATCCTGCTCAGCTGTGAAGCCAACTGGGTGACTTTGGGCTAGTCACAGACTCTTAGCCCAACCTACCTCACAGGGTTGTTGTTGTGGGGATAAGACTGAGGATTAAACTCATTTAAGCCACTTTTAGAGTTCCTTGAAAGGAAAAAAGATGAGATAGAAATGTAATAAATAATAAATAAATATAGGCCCGCCTTTTGGCAGTGTTCAGCTGAATTTAAAATGTTGAAATACAGAACTGAAAATATTTACTGTGACAATAATCCTGAATTCCAAACATTTTTTTTTCATTTTTACCTTCAAAGTCCACCATTGCATTCATTAGTGTATTCCAATACATTTCTGTGAACTGCTTACTCTTCCAATCTCAGCTGTCCAAGTGTCTCCAGCTGTAACAAATTATTCCATCCTTTCTCCCTCTCTGTTGGGAATGCTCCTCAGAATACCTCTAATGGCTTTGACACAACTATTTAGTTTCCTTACCCTACTGAAATTAAATCTAAGCCTGTACAACTGTAGTAACTGCATATTCTTCCCCCTTTATATTCCCGTTACCCTCTCCTTCCTCTTGCTTCCTATTTCAGATTGTAAGGGCACAATCTATGCATGTTTAGATTAAAAAAAATCCTACATCCCAGCATTCCCCAGCCAGCATACCATCCTAAAGAATTTTGGGGGCTGTATGACCTTTCTTCTAACTACGCATACAATTTCCTTTTCTAAGGGTCCTAAAACTCAAAATGTGTCACCTTCAGAATAACTGAGTTAGCAGTAGCTAAATTTAAATTTTGTATAATTATCCAAATCTCTAACAGAGAACTAAACTCCTACATCCAGAGATAAGCATCTCATTTAATCACAGTCCAAAATCCCACACTCTCTCTTGAAAGATTTTCCTTATTTCTGAAGTATGTTAATACCTTCCTTTACTTGACTCCAGTGATTTTTACCTTGGTATTGGCTTTCCATCTGTGCAGATCGAGTCACATAATTAATATAAAATTCTGTAGCTTTATTCAGGTACTTGTATAGCAGGTTGGCAGGGAGCCTCACATCAGGGTTGTTAATTATTAGGGGAAGGACATCACAGACTAAAAATGATACAAATTCATCAAATTAGGCTTATCAGTTTCAGACAAAATATATTTCATAGGTCAATCTGTACAGGCCTTTTGGACCTGAAAAAATCCAGCAGTGAGTGACAAGCTGTTTTGAAACTCATCTAAAATGAGGCCCTGTTAAGAAAAGATTAAATCAATAGTTTATTAAAATCCATAACAGATTATTAAAAACTGTACCAGCTCCTAAAGAATCATCTGACAAATGCAATCATTCCATTTCCCTAAATTAATGGAGGAATATCTCTTTTAGATTGCTGCCTACTGAAAACCATGTGCACATTCATGGTCCATGTGAAAGTGCTTGCTCCACAATCTGGGCAAATAAATAATTTTACTTATATTCAAATATATGCAGATATAACCAAATAAAATGTTTGCAACCAACTAAGTAAAGTTTCTTTAATTGGCATTTTTCTTTAACAACAGCTTACTTTTCCCTGGGTGGTATACAAAAACTAAAGAAATAATTTCCTACCCAAAAAGAATTCTATCAAAACAGATGAAAACAAGCAGTTTCAGGAGGGCAAATTAAAATAATGTTTGTCCCTATTACTCTCCATTTCCTATTCAGAGATATTAGATAATATAATGGATATACAGTAAAACTTTGGATTGCGAGTAACTTGGTTTGTGAGTGTTTTGCAAGACAAGCAAAACATTTTTCTAAATTTTAATGTAATAAACGAGCGATGTCTTGCAATACAAATATTGTGCGCGCTTTGCCTGGAGCATCACATCACAACTGAGCGCTGGTTCTTCTCGCTCTCGCTGCGGGTGTGAGCACAGCATCGTCTCCCCCCCTGCCCCGAGTGTGCCCGTCTCCCCTCACCGAGCATGCCTGCTTCAAATTTTTGTGATGAAAAAAAAAGTTACAGAACGAATTAACCTTATTTACATGGAACCTTACAGGGAATTTCGCTTTGATATACGAGTGCTTTGGATTACAAGCATGTTTCCAGAACAAATTATGCTCGCAATCCAAGGTTTTACTGTACTGATATCCATTTTTTGTCTTCCTACACCCCATTCTCAGCCAATAAACAGAAAGCAAAGAACCCTAAAACCCCATTCCTTTTCATCAGTAGCGCACAGAGCAGATTGTGGTTTATAATTGTGGTTTATATATGGAGTGGTTTATAAATCACCCTGAAGTTACAGTTAACCTAAAGAGTCCCTTGGGAAAAACAGAGAAAGTACTGCCACTCTGCCAAGGGGTTCTGACAGACTGCAACTGTCACTGGTTTTCTCCAGGGCCCTTGCTGATGCTAGAAGGAAAGCAGGCTATGTTGGCTACAGGTGTGCATAAAAGAATTTCAGAAAAGAGATTTTATACTTCACAGACTACAAAGCTTTTGTGTGGATCAAGAGAAGCTTTTTCAAGGTTCTGAAAAAATGGGTGTGCCTCAATACTTGATTGTCTTGATGCATAGCCTGTTCTTGTATGTTGAACAAGAAGCTACTGTAGGGACAGAACAGTAGAGAGCTTTTATAAGTACAGGTATTAAAAGTAGTTTTAAAATTAAAATCTGCTAATTGGTTAACTGAGATACCTTTTCTTCCTTGACTAATAAATCAATCAACTAAGGGAATAATCCTACGTATGTTCAAACAAAAACAAAGTCTTACAACTCCAATAGGTAGCTGGTGCCCTAAGATTGTGTCCTTTATGCTGCAGCTCAGGAAATCATGCTGCTGCTTTTCTATTTTATTTTTTCTAAATTGTGTGAAATCTGTTTTTAGCAAGAAAAAGTCGCGAATTGGGGAGTCATATATGACTTTAAATAACATAGCTCAAGACACCAGTTTACACAACATGGGCTACGAGTTTTTCCAATATGAAAATAAATCTCAAGGACTGTTTCATATAGATGACTCATGCGCAAATTAGCAGAAACAACCTGGTAATGCCACTGTATCTTCAATACATCAGACTAGCAGCACCACATCTTACCTTTTACTTTTAGCATAAAATTCTATTCTTACCAAATAATTTTCTAAAGCAATTGACAGATGATTCTTGGTCTTCAATATTTTCTGCTTCTAGCAATGTTTCTCCAAGGCCCACCTTTGCAAAAATTAAATACAATTAAGATCTGCTTCTTATTATTTCATGGTCTTTTCTAAGATGCTTACAACACACTGAATAACAACGAAAATTAATAGCTTCCTTTGTCACCTTGCCCAGAAAAAATGTAGGGGCGGCAAGAAGGAAGGTAAGCATTAGAGAAGTGAGTATTTTAAGAACAATTTACAAGTTAAAGCTCTGTCATAAGATTACAAATAGTACGTGTTACGTTTGGAAACAGCACTTCTCAAAAAACTACCAAATTTAACTCTGAATTATCTCAGTTCAGCATCAGACGTTCTTGTTCCTCTGAATCTACCGAGTGCTTTGCTTTTCTAACTAATTTTAATAAGAAATGGCCCAGATAATTAAGTCCATCAAATTGTTGTTTTAGATGTACAATCAGTTGGCAGAAGTGGTCTTTCCCCTATACTTCTGAATATGGCATCCCCCTGAAAACAGTACTACAGGAAGTGTCTGTGGACCCTACTAGAAAGAGACAGACTTTGACTAGAAGAGCAAGAAAGGAGAATCAACCAAAATTAAGCAGAGAGACCCTGTATGAGCAGAACTCAGTTCACAAAGAGTACCTTCACCTATTTTCTGGAGATTCTGCTTTCCCTTTATCTTCCCTTAACACAACCTACATCTGTGTAGCATTTTCAGAGGGAAAGATAGGGAGAAGATGTTTGTTTCTACCGACCTAGTTGTACAAACTTAAATATGGTTCTAACCCAATATTTACTTTTTTACTGCTTGTTTTAAATTTTCAGTAGAGCAATAGACCTAACATAAAGAGACATGGAGCAACAGCTTTGTTGCCCAAGAGAAAAGGGGACAGCACCCCAAAAAAGTTCGAGGTCCACTGCTGTAAGGCCTCAAGGCATCTTAAGGAACAAAAAAAATACGTGTAATACAAAGAATCTTCAGCAACTTACCCCATGCTGAACAACTGTGTCAGGGAATCGCCGCAGAAGTAGGAGAAGCATTTCAGCCCGTTCTAATGTGCTGAAGCACTGCTCTGTAGCTTTCAATAACATTTCACACTGAACACGACCTGGAAGAGTCTCAAATAAACCTGTGTTGGAAAGAAGGGCAATAAACCAAATAATCTATTAAAAAGTGGGAAGTATGTGGGGGTGACATTACAGTATGTGTAAGAAAGTAACAGGCATAAAAATCTGAGTGGGATGACGTATTGATTAGATCTTTTTTTTTCAATTAACAGTTCATATTGGAAAGCTTTCTCATTTCCCTCTTCCCTATGCAATTGCTCATTTCTCAGAAAAGTCTGTTCCTGAGAAATAGGGGCCTTTGTGTGTGGGGTAGCATATGGTACAGCAGGCTACAGGTTGACTGATTTTACAAGAGCTGAGCAGGACTGTCAAAAACAGAGCATTTTTGAGGGCAATCATTTACAGGATCACCACACATTGAAACAACTTGATGGCATATACTATCAGTAAATCAAATCAGGATTATCTGATCATGGAGAACTCATAACTCCCGTACTACTTAGTGAGCTTACTTCTGAACAGAAGTTCATATAGGTTTGCACAGTGGGACTTCACATGAAGTGTGTTCAAGATGCTGTTTAACAACAACATTACTTACTATATGTAGTAATAGTATTGGTATGCAATACCAATAGGTATGCAGATGAATGGTTTTATGGTGCAACGGCAGCCATATCGCACCAAATTGTGTAAGCAATATCTTAGTTTTTTAATGAAGTCAAATAATTGAGGCATAGCTTAGCATTGAATTTTAAGAAATACACTAGAAAGGACAAGCCTTCCCATAACTACTCTTGCATCAAAAATTATGGTTAATAATAACAATGATTAAGCATGCAAACTAAACTATCAAAAGAATCATTGCATGAAATCTTATGAAATCTGAAAGAGTTGGGCTGGGTTCCAGCACCTCCAAAGTGAATAATATCCCTTTGAGGGATGCTGTGATTCTCACAGCTTTGAAAGAAGCAGTAGTGTCTTGACGAAGCGATCGATCTTAGTTCCTATGGTTTTAGGTAACTACCACCTGTGTGACTTTTATCATTCTTGGCCAAAGTGCTGGAGTGTTATGTGGCTTAGCAACTCCAACAGCTGTTGGAGCATTGGATCATACTGATGATTTAGATTGATTCTGGTATAGACAAGAGCAGCCCTGACCACCTAGATAATGAATGATGAAATGCATCATGAAACTGCTGTTGGATCTTCTGGACATCTCAGAAGCTTTCAACATGAGTGACCATAGTGTTCTTCTGGATCAGGACTGAAAGACACATTTTAATGTGGTTACAGTTCCTTCTGAAGCAGTCTCAAAAAGTGATTTTGGGGGACTTTTGTTCCACCCTATGGCCATTTGCCTGTGAATCTGCTGGAGGAAGGTATCAGGTGGTTTGGGCTAAATTATCATTAGTATGCATTAGTGTGCTTTATCTCATTTCTACTTGCACAACCCAGGAGGGCATTTGAACCAGAGGTTGTTTTGGGGTGAATGAGGGTGAAACATGATGAAACTTAAACAAGACAAGATGGATGCAGTGTCAGCTGGGAAACCAAATACTCTGGATGGAGTGTTACAACTGATCTGAGATAGGGTTACTTGCCCACTAAAATATTTTAAGCTCATAGTATGGGAATCCTCCTAAATTCTGTGACAAATGGGAAAGTTCAGATAACTCTACTATCCAGCAGTACATTTATTTATTAGATTTATATCCAGACTTTTATGCTCCTGAAAATATACTATATTAACCAGATTTTCCCCTTATTATTGAACTGGGCTGTAGCTATGGTTGTCTATGTAGCTATGGTATGCTTACTTATGCATAGTTCTTGCAGTTTTTATCATGGTTTTACTGTTTTTACTGTTACATTAACTGTTTTATTGTTGCATTGTTGGGAGAGCTCCTTCCCTGAAAGGCAGTCAAGAAATATTTTAAATGAATAACAAAATAAGTATTGAACATTTGTAATAACTACCTACTGCACTGTTTGCACCAATATGTACAAACTGCACTGGAAGAAGCACTTTGCAGCCCATGTACTGCAATCAGGCTTTGATTTTAATTTAGTCATATCTACATTCAATGGGTCAGATCTAATTTTGCAATTAAATCTGTAATCCTGTGTATGCTCAGCTAGGAGCAAGCTCCACTGAACAGAGTATGGTTACTTACTTCCAAATAAATATGTAACGATTGCACAATATTCTCTGCTGAGAGATATAATTGTTGAATAGGTCAGACTGGAGAGAAGTTACAACAGGAATATTCTTTAAAAGTGTTTCGATACCAAGCCAACTGTAATTATCTTTAACTGTCCTACAAGGCATTCAATAGCAGAACAAAAATGAATACCTCTTAGAAACTGAGTTTGCTTATCTTGCAAGTCATTCCTTAATGCTGATGTAATAACACTAATCTCCCGCCATACCACTGGTTGATCTGGAAAATTAACAAACCTGAAACAAAGAATTGGGAGAGGGGCAAGAATAGGAATAATTGAATTCTGAAATAAATAAAAACAGAATTTTCTTATGAAAAGCATGCCATTAAAATGCAAATATGAAAAACTGCAATACAAATAATGTTGTTACCAGCAAGTTGTTAAACAGACAATATCTATGTTCTTAAAACTGAAAAAATAAATTGATGAAAAAAATAGACAACATGGTGATGGTATTACTCAGAAATCCATCTGTTGTCTCTTTAATTACCAAAGCAATTTATTAGTATAGGATTAGGCAGTCTAAACCATTAAAGACAACTTCCTTTAACAAAGCAGAAATAAGCCTCATACATGGCTTTTGTATTTATAAATTTACAGGCTACTGAATAACCTAACAGGACACTCTCAGCAGTGAACAATGATAAAATACAAGACCAATATTACAATTCCTAGTTACAAGAAAAAAGAAAAAACCTGCTGGTAGTAGAATGAGATCTTACAGACAACCAGTTCTTAAAATCTGGTCTCAAAATACCTACAAAAGAGGACAGATTTTACCAGGCATCAAAATTGA